ATATTGAGGAAATGAAGAGAAAAATGGATGAAGGTTTTGTTGCCTTTCAAATAATGAATATTTCGAAAGGGGGCTGCGTTACAGATGAAGATGTCAGAAGTTTAAATCTAGATTCGTATCGTTTCTATGATTATGAAGAAAAAATTTTTGGGAAAAATATCCGAAAATGTAAATATATTGGGAACATAGTTGCGATAAAAGAAATCGGCAGCATCAATATAGGACTAAGGAAAATTTCCAAACCAATAAAAATAATCGATTTGCTTGGAAAGTGCAAATACATTGAAAAATTGTCGGTATTAATAGCATCTTTATACTGTATCTTAGTTATTTACATCGTTAATTACTAACAAGGATTCCAATTAATTTATTATTTATAGTTTTGGCGTACGTATCGAAAATGTGTATGGAACTGATTGTCTTTTTATAGTTACTGAATGGATGGAGAACGGAAACCTCCGAGAATATTTGTGTAAAAACACGTTAATTCCATGGAAAACAAAACTCAAAATTGCGGAACAAATTGCCAGAGGCCTTTGTTTTTGTAGTAGCGTTGGAATCCTTCATAGAAATATTAGAAGGTGGTGCAGTATATACTTAAATCTACCTATTATTCATCATTTTTTCTTCTTTTCATGGCTTTAAGGTAATTATAAATTTTCTCGTTTAGCAAGAATATATTACTCAATGATAATCTTGATGCTAAGATTTCTAACTTTGAAATAAGCCGAGAGACCAGCTACATATCAACAGAAATGTCTTTAGATTTGATAAGGTTATACGTGCGCTTTTTTATATAATAAAAATATCCTATTGAAACCCAATTAAAATTTACAATAAACGTAACATTTTAGATGGACTGCTCCCGAAAGATTAAAAGAACCATTACTACCTTATACCGATAAGTGCGAAGTATTTAGGTAAGGTAAATTACGATAAAAGAAATATACATTATATTATTTTTATGTTTTATTAATTTAAAATACAACTTTAGTTTCGCGGTTCTTCTATGGGAATATCAACACATAAAGTTCCATTCAATCAAATCGACAATATAAGAGCAGGTGAGAAGATTAAGAGCGGAAAACGTCCTAAACCATTTTCAGAAGACACGTCTGAGAAATATAAAAGGATAGTCAAAGAAGCCTGGCATGATGACCGTAATAAACGCCCAACAATTGAGGAAATATTAGAACAACTTGATGAAGTCAAAAAGGATGTTGACCCAAACTACTTATCATCCCTTGAAATTAATGAAGCGATATCGCTGCATGAAAAGAAACAATACAAGAAAGCTTTCCGCTACTTTCGGGAGTTGGCATATGGAAATGACCATAAATCTTTCCCTTTGGCCTCGTATTATGCGGGTCTTTATTTTTTCGAAGGTACTTACGGCATTGAGAAAGATGAATTTCAAGCTTTGTATTTATTAAAAAAGTCTGCCATTTGTGGTGTTGCACAAGCTCAATACAAGTACGCTTATGCTTGTCTCAAAGGACGTTATTATTCACAAGAAGAAGGGTTAAAGTATCTTAAGAAATCTGCGCTTGGTGCAAGAGTTCCAGAGGCTTTATATATGATTTCTCAGCTCTTTTTGAATGGCGAACACGGCTATCCAATTGACAATAAAAAATACATAGAATACTTGATCAAGGCAGCAGATAGGGGATCAAAAGAGGCACAACAAGAACTTATGAAAGAACGCGCAAAAAATTATTAAATTTAGCGTGATATTATTACATATTTCAAAATTTAGTATTATTAACTTTTGACCTTATATTAATATATGGGCAATTATTCTTGAAGGCGACCATCGGTCCCCAGTTTTGAATAATACGTATATGATGCAAA